AATTAAGCTTATCGACACTTTCCTAAAACCTATCGGAACGTCAGTAAAACTTATTGGAACGTCAGTAAAACCTATTGGAGCTTCAGCAAAACTTATTGGAGCTTCAGTAAAACGTACGAAAACTTTAGTAAAACCTGTTAAAGTTTGCGGCAGCTTAGAAAGCGTCGTCCGTCCTGCGTTTTATTTAACGCCCGTACGGGTTGAAACGCAACCCTCCCTCGCAGAGCCGCGAATGGATCTCGTTCTCGTCGGGTCACGCCGCCCGCGACGTGCTTAACCGCGAGCCAATTGCAGCGTCACAGTCGCTGTCTCTGGTACAGTCGCCTCTGAGAAAATATTACACCGGCGTGGAATTCGGGGGTGATGGGCCATCACCGAGGAGCCCGGTGGTTAGTCGATTGGCGGATCGCTTTTCCGGGGGAATAATAAAACATTTTTGGGCGGTGAGAAAACGCCAAATTTGGTCACTTCAATCCGCGACGGTTTGTGTGGGGGTGGACGCTGCTGTGCGCAGTCGGCCGCCGCGTTTCGCTGACAAAGTACGCAGTCACTACACTGTACGCTGTGATCCCGTGAAGCGCTTTGAGACGCCTCGAAGGCGCGGTGAGGCGCCGGGTCGAAGGCGAGGATTATTATTAATATTATATAATGATATTGATTATTATGTATGTTTTATCTGGTTTCCGTCCAGTTACCACGACACTCATCGCAATCTATCAACAGTTTCAGGTATAGATCACAGGCTGCAGACCATCCGGAACTCTGCAGCCCGTGTCCTCTCCTGCACCAGGCGCCGTGACCCCATCTCCCCCCCACCCTCGCCAGCCCGGCTCCACCGGCTCCCCATCACACAGAGGATACAGTTCAAGATCCTGGTCCTCACCTTCAAAGCCCTCCATGGCCTCGCTGCCCCCCACTACCTACCTCTGTGACCTCCTAACCCCCCTACCATCCTGCCCACTCCCTCCGCTCTGCGGGCTCCGGACTGCTTCACGTCCCCCGCCTCGCCCGCCCAACCATTAGGCCTTCAGCCTCTCTGCCCCCACTCTCTGGAAATCCATCCCGCAGTCCCTCCGCCTCGCCCCCTCCCTCGCCTCCTTCAAGACCCATCTCAAGACCCTCCTCCTCAACCAACAGCGCCTTCAGTCACCTTCCTACCCCAATCCCCTTTGCCCTCCACCCCCTCCTGATCCCAACCCCCAGCTCGGGTCCAAACCCCTGACCGTCCAGCGCTTTGGGACATCCTCCTGACCTGAAAGGCTCCGTGTAAATGTTGTGTGTTGTTGTTGTTGTTGTTGTTGTTTGTAGAGTCCACAAGTCTGTGCGTTAAGGATGAGAAAGTGAGAGAGAGAGAGAGAGAGAGAGAGAGAGAGAGAGAGAGACGTAGCCAGGAGCCTGTGATGTCTGGCTGGCACAGAACATGTTTCTCCACACACGCGTGTGGAACCAGCTAAGGAGGGCAGAGGCTAGAGTTTGCCCCAACAACGACAACAACAACAACACCAACAACAACAACAACACCAACAGCCACAACAGCACAACCACAAGTTGTTGATCTGTAGCTCAGTGGTTGCGAGCGAGACACCCGGGTTCAATTCCAGACAGGGGGCGAGACCTTGGGCAAGTGTCCTTACCCCACACGGCGAATAATAATCCCTCCAAAACAAAATACTAATAAATTGGTCATTTTCAGTCCATGGCTGTTTGTGGGACAGACGCCGCTGTGCGCAATCGGCTGCTGCGTTTCGCCCACAAATATACGGTCAATTCACGTCACAGTCTATTCTGTGAAGCGCTTTGAGACGTCTCGAAGACGCGATAAGGCGGTGGGTCAAATGCGAGGATTATTATTATTATTATTATTAACAACAACCACCACCACCACCACAACAACAACCACAACAACAAAAACACACCACCAACAACCACCGCAACAACAATAACACACCAACAACTACCACCACCACAACAACAACTTGCATTTACATAGCGCCCTTCACACGGGGTGGCGTCCCAGAGGGCTTGACTATGGCGGATTCCGACAACACGCCAGCCCACCGATGGTGGAGCGGAGGGGAGCGAGGCCCGAGCTGGGCAAGCAGAGAGCGGCGGAGGAAGGGGGGTGGGGGTTGGCGTGGGGGGGAAAGGGGCTAAGCAGGTCGGAGAGGTAGGGAGGGAGGTGCGAGGGCCTGAAGGGATTTGAAAGCGAGTGAGAGGATCTTGAAGCCAATCGATCGGGAACCGGAGGGGGAGACATATCCAGACCTCGACTAATTCCCCGCTGCTGAGGTTAGCTGTTCGGCAGCTCACACGGAGAAGGAGAAGTCACACATTCTCGTCGCTTAAAGCAACTTTAAGTTCCAAAATAGCATCCACTTACATTGACCGTAGCAAAGATGTCAGGGTAGACACACAGATATATCCAGTGGTGGTGGGTGTGGAGGAGGGGGAGGGTGTAGGGGCCGGTGGGGCGGGGGGGAGACTTACATCTGCTTCTCGGTGAATGAAGAGATCTAATTCTTTTCTTTATTGGAACAAACGTAGCTCGAAACCACTTGGTTTCTTTTCCGGCGCGAAACGGGCTGGGAAGTGTCGACGGTCCTTGTTGGCGTGGATTTGGTTTGTCTCGAGCTTCGAAGACTTTTCTTACCTCGATCTTTTTGTTGTGTGGGTTTGTTGGGTTCCCGTTCCCCCCACACCACCCCCTCGCTCTCCGTGTCGCGTTTGCCAAACAGCGAGACAACAACACGTGATGTTTACACGGAGCCTTTCACGTCGGGAGGACGTCCCAAGGTGCTGGACGGTCAGGGGTTTGGACCCCGAGCTGGGGGTTGGGATCAGAAGGTGGGGGGGGGGAGGGAGGGGTGGGGTAGGAGGGTGAACGAAGGCGCAGTTGGTCGAAGAAGAGGGTCTTGAGATGGGTCTTGAAGAAGGCGAGGGAGGGGGTGAGGCGGAGGGACTGTGGGCTGGAGTTCCAGAGGGTGGGGTGGGGTGGGGGGCGGCGGAGAGGCTGAAACTCTGCCCCGCCAATGGTGGGGTGAGGTGAACGAGTGAGGTTGCTCTACAGCTGGGAGGCAAAGCCAATCCAGAGGACCATGAGACTAGGAATTTGCTCCCAAATCACTCAACACTTGATTGTGGAATTCCCAATGCGAGTGTGAGGTGAACGTGGAAAGCAGTCGTGACATTTTTAAGATGATCAGTGAGCTCATCGCTTGTGGAAAACGTTCTGCTGAAATTTCTTGGGTGGGTCAAAGGGCCCATCCCATGAGGAGAGTGTTCTTCTGGGGCCTAAACTATGTCTGGAGTTCCCCGTAGCTCAGGGGTTAGAGCCCTCGCCTCGCAAGCGAGAGGACCCGGGTTCGATTCCCGGGCAGGTCAGGTCAGGGCGAAACATTGGGCAAGTTTCCTTACTCCCCCCCCACCCCACACCCCCCCCACACACACACACAGACACACACGCACACGCACACACACGCCTCCGTTTACCAGCGGACAGTAGGAACCCGGTTGTTAGTCGATTGGCGGATCGCTTTCCGGGGGTAATAATCCCTTCGAAAAACATAATAAATAATAATAAATTGGTCCCTTCAATCCACGTCTGCTTGTGGGGGGGGACGGGGACGCTGCCGTGCGCAATTGTCTGCGCCTTATCACGTCTTCTAAACGTCTCGCGGAATATACTGTAAAGTGTAGTGACTGTATATTTTGTGGACGAAAAGCGGCGGCGCCATTTGCGCACAGCAGCGTCCCACGCAAACAACCGAATGGCCTCCTTCTGCGCTGTACGGTTCGATAAACTCGCTGCGGTGGCCGATTTGACTTGAAAGAGGAGTTTCGGGTAAGTTAGAAAAATGATCCGCTCTTCATTCCAGACTTCCTGTGATATAAAAGTCCCGTAAAACTTACTGTGCGATTCCCACGGGCTTTCGGGAAGCAAATTAGAAACAATGGCAAGAGATTCCTCCTGTCTCCATCGCCTCCTGGTCACGAAACCAGACCCCGAAAGGACGTTAAGATATAAGCACATTGCACCCCCTCGGAATTTCAGGAACCCCGATTCTTTTCCCCGAGATGACCGTTGCCCCCTTTTCGCTGGGAACAGCGATCAAGTCACCTACGTAACCACAGCAGCTAACAAGACTTGGTCACTCTTCTCTTCCTCCCCCCCCCCCCCCCACCCTCAACACTGCCCGGCAATAATAGCAATAGTCCTCCCATTTGACCCGGCGCCTCATCACGTCTTCGAGACGCCTCGAAGCGCTTCGCGAGATACGCTGCAGAGTGTAGTGACTGTGTGCTTTGTGGGCGAAACGCGGCAGTCAATTGCGCACAGCAGCGTCTCCCCCCCCCCCCCACACACACAGCCGCGGGTTGGAGCGACCAAATTATTATTATTATTTTATTTTTGAAGGGATTATTACCCCCCGGAAAAGCCATCCACCAATAGACTAACAACAACTGACTGCTGGTAACCAGAGGGGTGTGTGTGTGTGTGTGGGGTGGGGTGGGGGGGGGGTATGGTGGGGGGGGGAGTAAGGAAACTTGCCCAATGTTTCGCCCTGACCTGACCCCCCTGGGAATCGATCCCAGGTCCTCTCGCTTGCGAGGCGAGGGCTCGAACCACAGGGAACTCCAGTGTAGCACAGCGTTTAGTGTCCTGAGTATCAGGGAGGGGTGGGGGGGGGGGGGGGGGGTGGGGGAGCTGATAAGTTTGACACTCTTATGAAGTCAGGAATTTTTCCGAATAGCCGGGCAAACCAGTTTGTAAAACAATCCACTAATTCTTCCCCTAATCCCTCAACGCCACTCGCCCTGAACTCCAGGGCATATAATGCTATCTTTTTCTCCGCTCCCGGATCGGAATGCCGGCTATTTCCCTCAGCGGAAGAGCCCATTTTCACCCGGAGAGGTGGGGAAACACTGCGAATCGGGAGGAAAAGACGTGCGACTTTAAGGGGAAACATCCCTCGGGAGGGGAGGTCGGGAAGCCCCGGAATTTACGCTTCTCTCGTGAGTTCTTTGCCCTGTTAAAGAGACGCTTAAAGGACGTTTAAACCCAACAGCTGTGCTACCTCAGTGTAAATAATGTCCCGCGGACACTCAAATTCCTCGGGTGAGGAGTACAGATCTATTGTGCTTCGCTGTGCGGTCATGTGTGGCTTATCAGTAGGGATGTAGTTACAATGGTATGTGATTGGATCACAATGTTTTGGCGAGGGTTCAACAGCTGGAAGATAGAGCAATCAATGTAGGAGTCAGCCCGCAGTCCTTTACTGCACTGCAGCCCATTACTGGATGCTGGCGAACACCGACACCGGCTCGGAAGAAAGTTTGAGGATGGGAGGATTTCAATCCCAGAACCTGCCCAAGGGAGAGGCGAAAGCCATAAGACAGAAGCCAAACGTGTAAGTCTCCCTTTCAGCTCACCCATCTCTACCCCACATGGTTCCACAAAGAGAGTAATGATGATAATAATAATAATAATAATAATAATATTATTGTGGAGTAAGGAAACTTGCCCAACGTTCGGCTCTGCCCGGGAATCAAACCCAGGTCCTCTCTCGCTTGCGAGGCGACTGCTTTAACCGCTGAGCTACAGGACTCGAAGACTTGACAAGGCTTCTCCTTCTTCTTATTAAATAATAATAATAATATTTGCATTTGATATAGCGTCCCTTGCGACGTCTCAAAGCGCTTTGCAAGGATGCGCTGTGAAGTGCATTGACCGTGTATTTTGTGGGCGGAACGCGGCAGCGTCGTGGGATTGAGTGACCCGTTTTATTATTATTATCTTTTTTTGTGGTGCGTGCGCCGTCTATTTATACTCTGGCATTGGCTTGTGGCTACCATTTTATGATAGAAAGTTTCACTTCAATGCTTGTTTGTGTGTTGATTTAAGCCGGTTGACTGAATGCAATGACAAGGTCACGTTGCTGACTGTAAAACAATACCACTGGTACGTCCGCCTCAGTGTTATTTAATCATCTTATTAATCTGTGGGGGTGAGGGGGGGGTTGGAAAACGATGATTTTGAAGTGTTTATAGAGAGTTATTGCCTTCGGCCTCTTCAAAGATGGGTGTTTCTCAGAGACCGGGTTAAAGTTGTTTTTAATTCACTGCAATTTAGTGTCGATCAATGATGCGATGAAGTTCTGGGAGAGATGAGGCTATAGGTCCTGTGAGGTTCTGTCAGGAATTTCACTCTCGAGCAAAATACAGTGTGTGATGATGTAAACTGCGAACGGTGATGGAGAGACTCATTAATAATACAGGTTCCGCGATCTCGCACCTCCTAAACCCTCCCCCACCCCCCCCGGGCCTGCTTCACTTCCCCCCCCCCCCCCCACCCCGCCTCGCTCACTCAACCACCCCGGTCAGGCCTTCAGCCTCTCTGCACACCCCCCCCACCAAACCTCTGGAACTCCACAGTCCCTCCGCCTCTTGCCCTCCCTCACCTCCTTCGAGACCCGTCTCAAGACCCTCCTCTTCGACCAACTGCGCCGTCAGTCACCCTACTTACCCCCCCATGAGACAGGCATATACCTTTAAGCCCAGAATGATACCAGGGCTTGAAGGGTTAAATTACGAGGACAGGTTGCAAAAAGTTGGTCTCTATTCCCTTGAGTCCAGAAGGTTAATGGGGTGACCCGATTGAGATTTTTAAAACAATAAAGCGATTCAAAAGGGGCAGCAACAGAGAAACTATCTCCTCTGGTGGGTTGGGGGGGAATCCAGAATTAAGGGGTGAAATCAGGAGCAGTTTTTCACCCAAAGGGTTAGTGGGAATCTCTCTCTCTATATCTCTCTCTCTCCCCAAAAGGCTGTGGGTTATGGCTGTGGATCCATTCACATCTTCAACAAGGAGGTGGAGAGATGGTCGTCAGGTCAGGGGATCAAGGGATAGGAGGCAAAGGCGGGGCAATTGGAGTTGAGGTACAGATCAGCTGTGATCTTCTGGTATGGTGGAACAGGCTCGAGGGGCTGAATGGCCTCCCCCGTTCCTATCACTGTGGTCTGTTTTCTTGACCAGGATCATTGGTTCAAGCCCTCCATGTTTATTTGAACACAAATGACTTCATTCACGTGTGACCTCATCGAGACGTCTGGGATAATGGCTGTATTTATGTATTTATTTTACAATAAAGAGCCACTTATTCTCAATATTGAGGCCAAGGCGTGTATTGTGGAGCTTTTCTAAATACATTTGAGTTACAATGCTTCCTTGTTTGCCGGCGGTGGACTGGGCCAAGGAGGGTGACCGGTCGATCGAAGAGGAGGGTCTTGAGACGGGCCTTGAAGGAGGCGAGGGAGGGGGCGAGGCGGAGGGACTGCGGGATGGAGTTGCAGAGGGTGTGGGCAGAGTGGCTCAAGGCCCGCCTGCCAATGGTGGGGTGGGCGTGAAGCAGGCCCGAGCCCGCTGAGCGGAGGGAGCGGGCAGGTTGGCAGGGGGTTAGGAGGCCATGGAGGGCTTTGAAGGTGAGAAGAAAAGGAATACCCATGGTACCTCTAAGGCTGGGTTTACACATGGTTTACGCATGGTTTACACATGATTTACACATGATTTATGTGGTTTACACACGGTCTACACACGGTTTACACATGGTGCACAGACCTGAAGTCCACGTGATTTACAGCAGGGTTCACAGATACATCAGAAAACCTTTGCCCGAGTCTGATGTCCACATCCCTTTGGAACTGAACCAAGGTATCCGCAAACTGTGACAACGTGGGAATGACGGCTGGTTCCGGCCTCCTGTTTGTCCCTCACTCCCCCCCCTCTCTCCGCTCCAACATCGTGGCCGTGTCTTCAGCCACTACCCCCCCCGAAACTCTGTCACTCTCCCCCTCCCTCCCTCCCTCCCTCCCTCTCTCCCCACCTTCAAATCCCACCTAAAGACCTTCCTTTTTTTGGATCGTGCTGACGGTCGGTCACCTCCCTCCCTCCCTCCCTCCCTCCCTCCCTCCCTCCCTCTCCCCACTCGGGGTCAGACCCCGCCACTGCCAAGCCCCCCACCCCCCCACCCCCAGGCGAAGGGCACCGTGTAAATGCAAGTTGTTGGCGTCTCTGTTGTCCATCAAAGGGAACACGGTCCGATAGAATATACCACAGCATTTGCCGCGAGAAGGCGAGGCAAGTTATTCATTTATTAAAGATATGATACTTTTCTGTGTTTCCTGGGGGTGGGGTGGGGGAGGGGGGGGGGGGTCACGTACAATTCCCCCTTTTTCCAGCTGATGTAAAGGGGTAATTATACGGCATTGGAGTTCGAGCGTGTCGCCCACGCGGTGATGGAAGTCTCATTAAATCATACGTCTGAGGATTTATCGAACACTTGCAAACAGCCGGGTCTCTCTCTGCAGTGAAATTCCAACGACGTGGGACGTCCTCCTGACGTGAGAGGCGCGACGCAAACATAACTTATTGTTGCTTCTTCCGGTTTACCTGTTGTACGAGAGCAAACTACATCTTCGCCCAACTGTGCCTGATATATATACATATATATATACATATATACACACACACAGGTGTGTCAACAAAGCAAAGGGAACGAATCGAGTAAATCGTTTTGGTTCTGTCGTTGATTGGCTTCCTCGGGCCACGGATAAAATATTGATCACGGGCAGGAATTCAATGCTGTTGTTGGCTATTTTGAGCCGTGTTTTGTCCTGCCATTGGTACGCAGAATAGATGAGCGATGAATTATTCATCCCTGCTGCGATTCACAAAGCGCCCCATCTGTTATTTAACAATATCTTAAGTTAATTATTTGCCCTGAAAGGCCCGACCCAAACAAGACATGGAGCTCGCAGCCCGAGAACACCGTATACGCCAAAACAATTCTATCATTGTAAGAAGGATATAGATAGGAACCTGGCAGTCAGGATCGCAGGAGACATAGAACCGTAGATTGTGGAGTCACCTGTAGCTCAGGGGTCGGAGACCTCGTCTCGCAAGCGAGAGAGGACCCGGGTTCGAGTCCCGGGCGGGTCAGGTCAGGGGGAAACGTTGGGCAGGTTTCCCTTTGGAAAGTTGTCGTTGGATCGGCTCCCACTGTAACAACTCTCTGCGCTTAAAAGAAAAAAACCTCTCCTCGTCTCTCCTCTCCGGGTCGCTGTCTGGCAAGCTTTGTCGCTGCGTATCTGGCTCGGACCGCCAGACCTCTTATGGCTCGCAGGGGAAAGATACATGAGAGTGCGGGGGTGGGGGTTGGGGGTGGGTGTGGTGGGGTGGGGGGGGTTCGGGATGAGCTGGATGCCGTGTACGTGATGTCGGGAGGTGACACACGCTGTAAGAATACTCAGAATCGAAAGGGTTTTCTATGGTCAAGTTCCGCGTCGAAATGTCCGGTCGTGCAATCAGTTTAAATTGGAGATCGCGATCAATGAAAGCGTCGAGCGGTAAAGATTTGCAACGCTCTTTCCCCCACTCCCCCCCCCCACCACCCCAAAAAAACACCAAGGAAACGAACCAAACGAACAAAAAGTATAGTTTCGCTCGAGAAGCTACGGTAGTGTTGATTGAATTTCGTTTAGTTGACCACAAGAGGACGCTGGAAAAACATTAGTGACTGCGGCCCCAACCGACATCAGTGACGGTCAGTGACGTCAGGGAATGATTTATTACGATAATAATCCCGGCGTTTGGCCCGGAGACTCATCGCGTCTTCGAGACGTCTCGACGCGCTTCACGGGACGCACTGTAAATGTAGTGGCTGTGTGTTTCGTGGGCGGCACAGCCAGCAGCGTCCCCCCCCCCCCCCCCCCCCACACAAACAGCCGCGGGTTGAAGCCACCAATTTTTTTTA